GTCAGCAACTGCGGCGCCACGTTGGACCATGGGGAGGTGTTGTACAATACTCGCCCGAGCCTCAAATGCGCCCACCCGTCGAGGAGCGACCGTCACGGTAGTACTGCAGCCACACACAAGATCAATCCCAAGATATATGAAGGATTTCTTCGCAGGTATAAGAGCCAAATCAGGAAAAGTGCATCGAATCGGCCTCCGCCCACGCGGCTGAACAAGCCCGCGCGCACACTTAGGTAGGTTGAGGATGGGGCCCAGAGCACAGTCCAGATCCATGGTAGCAATGAGGACCTCGTTGAGCGACGCCCACGAGTCAGTCAAAATCAGCCGATCATCAAGGTACGAGTAATGTAGTGCACCAGGGACTCGTCGTTGGAGCTGCAGATGCCATAACGTCGAACCCAGATTGCAGAAGAAACAGGCCAGCGGGCACCCTTGAGGGACACCCAGAAGGTTCGGGCCAGCCAGCCATACATCAGAAAGTTGATTATCCACAAATAGCAATCGGGTGAGACCGCGATAGTTCTGAAGAGCCGCCGTACATACATGGAGGCCCAAGTGGGCCGCAATCAACTCGAGGTTCGGTAAGTCCAACCTGTCGAAGCACTTCTCAAGATCCATAGAAAGAATATGGCGTGGCGGCAGTGAGCCCAACCTTGCTTTCGCGAGCTCCGTCTGCACATGCCAGAGGATCTCAGGACAGCTGTGGTTGGGCATAGCGCCCGCAAGACCGGGAGGTTTCCAGCTCATCAGCCATGTATTCAGGGAAGCGGGGTGACGTTTCGCCCACAGCCTGTAAGTAATAGCCATGACCGTAAGAGGACGTCGATCACCTGGCGGCGAGTCAGGTCCTTTAGGTATGAGCGTAACACGAGCATGTCGCCAAAAGGAGGGCAGCCGCCCACGATCAGCTTCATTCAGTAGCATAGCAAGACGCTCGAGCGAATGATAATGCAAATGATCGAGCCACTCAGTACGATGACCGTCGAGGCCAGGCGCCCCGCCAGGCATATATTCCAGCATGTGCTCAGGCGTCCAAGGACCAGGCGGAATATATTCAGGAAAACCTTGCAGCAGCGAAAGATCCACCGGCGGGCGGACCACACGAGGCGGAGCAGGACAATGAGGACGAATAATATCCATATCTAGAGCATGACGCGCAAAGTCAACAGACCAACCAGGTAGATGCATAACTTGATACACACTAGCGTTCCATCGCCTAGCCAACGATTCGCCAAGCCGTCTAACAAGCTCACGTGATGTGAAGGTGACTTCAGCAATAGACGGCAACGTAGCCTCTTGCAGTGCAGCAACTCTGGACTTGACCCAACGAGCGGCACCACTGCGCGTCGAGATACGTTCACGCCAAGTCTTCAACCGCATGGTATTAGCGTCGTCGATCAGGGAGGTAATATAGCCAAGGGTACATTCAGCTGCCTCCCGACGATCATCATGTAGTTGCCTGCGAAATGTTTTCCAGAGCCCGTCAAGCTCTGCTGCGCGCGGGCCCGCCAGCCACCCTCCATTAGAGGGTTGCCGACGGATCTGCGCCTGTGGAGCACCAGCTGCATCTTGCCAAATCCTCCAGGCCAGATCAATATCATAAGGTAGAGCACGTTCGAATTGGGAAACCGCGGCAGCAGACCACTCGCCCATAGCCACAGGCTCATCAATAACCCATCTGAGTGGATCATGGAAATCGGGCCTCAGCCCCAGGGATACAAGCACAGGGCGATGTTGAGCACCCTCGACTGGCGGCAGCACGGTAGCAGACGCCGAGCCAGCCAACAGAGTTGAGATAACTGCACCATCGATCGTCGTCACCCACTCGGAGGTGGCGGGATTAGCACGGAACGTAGCACATGAAGGAAAGACAACAACATGATCACACCCATCTTCCAGGTAAGGTCTTTCATTGAAGTCACCAATAACCCAGGTCAAGGTATGCTGCGACTCCAGCGCGAGTGAACCGTCAAACCTCCGCCTCTCAACAACACTGCCAGAATGCGCATGGCGATGACGAATCAATACACGATGGGTACCCAATTGCATAGCAAGTCGTTGCACACGGAAATCTGCGTCAGCATCTGTCGCAGCAATCGGAGCTACATTAAGCCCCTGTCGCACCACCGTACAGAGCCCGCGCTTTCCTACCAGCACATAGTAGCCGAGAGAAGCAAGGTCAGCACGTAATGTATGCACCTGTCCGTGTGGAAGCGCACATTCTTGGAGAAACAGAAAGTGAGGAAGATGTTCACCCAGCAGGGCAAGAAGTGCATTGCGTCGGTAAGTATAGCTGCCAACGTTGAAGGTGACAGCCGTGAGCGTGTTCGAGGCCATAGCGTTTACTTCTGGATCTCAGCCAACCTCGTCGTCCGACGCAGGTTGTTGGTAGTGCGAACTCGTGCTCGGCGGCGTTCGGCATCATCCCGAAGGACTTGGTGAACGGCCTGCTGCAGGAGAGCCGCGCGCTCCGAAGGGCGTAGCTTCTCGCCCACTGCCTTCAGTGAATCCGAAACCGCTGAGCAACAACCATGATGATTGCGATACCATGAAATCAAAGATCGAGTCGTAGTCTGACACCCTGAGCATCGTAACCGAGGAGCACGCCAGATTCCCGCAGGACCGTCCGCGGGATCGACGTCAAAGTGACATGTCCATTCAGGCACGCGTTGCCCAAGGGCAGCAACTCGCGCCAGATGATCGGCACGGCGTGTGGCAAAAATCGTGGCACGTACCTCAGGGGATTTGCTGATAGCAGATAGGCGAGAGCGATGAGCAGCACCAGTGGAGCGGTAGGCCTCTAGAAGCTTGCGCCCGTCATCGCCATGAGCCAGCAGATGAGCTCGTCGCGACGCTTCTGGGGTATGTCTGTCGCACTCGAGCACGTGCGGGCAGAGAGGGCACTTCCAGCCCTTGATCGTAGAGTCCCAAGTGCCCAGGTTGCATTCTTGAGTACGCTGATGCCGAGCTTCACGCCGAGCGGCCCAAGACCGCATAATACCCAGCGTGCGAAGCTCCGCGACTCGTTCAGTACGGGTGTTCGTACCTGCCCATGTCGTGCACGAGGCAGCTACGCAGAAACGCTCAGGAGCACACTTGGCCCCATCTCCCAACCAGTGGCGTGGGCACCGGGAACACTTAACACCATGAGGTAGGAGCTCATGGGAGCAACACCACGTCGTCGTCCGCGCAATCCCACGGAGCTGAGTAGCCTTCTGGAGTCTGGCAGGACCCCAGTCGATTGGCTGTGACTTCTGTAGTTCAGAATAATGAGCAGCAGGGCGCTTGCGAGGGCAAATGGCACGGGCACGCTGGACCTTGCTGTTGGTAAAGGTCGATGCATCACCTGCCTGAACACCCTGAGCGAGACGTGCAGCTTCAACGTTAGCACGAAGACATTGTAGAGCAAAGCTTGGCGCCTGTCGCCGAGAGACGGGGGGCCGAGGCGCGAGTGTAGCAGACCGCGTCGTCGCCGTCCTCGCCCGCAACGTAGCAGTAGGGGCCCCACCAGAGCCCAGGGTAACCTGAGGGGGAGTCGCCTCAGAAGGGGCACCACGGGGAGCAGCCCTCAAAGTGGGCGCAGACGCAGGCCTAGCAGGAGGCGTCGAAGCGCCTCGTGAGGATCTCGCCGTAGAAGGTGCACCAGTGGACGCAGCTCTCAACGTGCAAGCAGAAGCGGAGCCTGACGAGCGGCCGCCGCCCTTGAAGGACCAGTCACGCAAGTGCTTGCCTGAGTCCAACGCATAATGAGAACAAGGATCAACTTCTTCGATATGCTGCCTGCGAGCAAGTGAGCAGGCAGGATCGGTATTGGCCTCAAGAGGTTCATAGTGTTTGTCACGGAATAGCATCCATATCAGACCCTTACCTTTGCCAATCACAACAGTAGGCTGGTTGGGGCGAATGACCACGATCTTCAGAGCCCACTTGTCAGCAGCAGCGAGGAGATCCAGCTCTCCCATCCACGCGTCAGGCTTCCCAGAAGCGGCAAGGTAGGCCGTCCAGGACGCGCGTGGTTTGCCCTTGGGGTCCATGCGATCCCAGAGCGGCTCGAGAATAGCGGACTTCTTTTCCATGTGTGCAACAAGCTGAGCACGCAGAGCACCAGGTTCATGGGTACTTTTCCTCGCCCGTTTGAACCAGTAACCCAAGGTATGAAAGCCACAAGCTCCGTCAGTCGGCACACTGACAACCTTGAGGCCCATAGTATCAAAGGCTTCCACACTCTTGGTACGATCATCGGCGGCAGGTGCACCAGCGCCGGCTTCAGAGGGAGTAGCAGCTGCATCAGGACTCACTTTCTGGCGCTTCGCAGTCGAAACTTCCTTCGCAGTAAGATCACTGGCAGCAATTGGCGCAGTCTTGTCCGCGAATGTCGCAGGTGGGTCCCAACGCATATCACTTGGCTTGAGATTCCTGAAACTCTTCGCCTTGGGTGGAGGGCGAAAGGGCTCGAAGTTCACATAATAATCATGATCGCCACATGATGCACGTACCGTGGCCGCCACGTTCGCACCTCCAGGGTTACAACCTCGGAAGATAAAGGACGCCTGCCGTGAGGTTGCACGCCGCCGAACGGTATTCAAGTCAATTTCAGGCCAGCCATTCTCCTTCGACCAATCACTGAACTGAGGTATCGTGATAGAGGGCGGCAATCCAGAGACCTTCCACGAAGTCGCATTCGTTCCCTGAGGCTGCCGAAGGCCCACAGAAGCGGTATTAGAAAACGCCAAGCCCAGACAAGGTGAGGCCTGCTCTGCCAGTCCACGAGCGCGGACAAGAAGATCAGGACCAGCCTCCCCGTCGAGCCGCTTGACCCACTTGATTTGCCCAACTGGGGGCGGAGGAGCACGATCTTGAGGAAGAAGGCGACAGAGAATGCCAGCGAGGCCACTTGCCGCCCCCACTGTGGAAACACGTTGTGGTAGCATGCGAACGTTGATGGAAATGATCTCCCCGTCCTCAGACCGCCTCGGGCTGAAGAGATCAACAACTGCATCCTGAGGTAGGTGAAGCGTACGTAGCCAATCCGTTGCTGCAACTTTGAAGTTGGAACTGTGCTTCTTCCAAGCGGCCGAGTTGACGAGGTCCTGGAAACAAGCCAAGCGGAGCACCTTCGTAGCCTGTGCCGTCGGCAGGGCCTTCCCTGCCTGAGGCTCCCACTTGAGATGGGGAGTCGTGGCGCCAAACTGTCGTACACAGAGGGGCGTCACCCGCGGGACTGCCTTCGAGTCCAGCGCTGGTGCACGAATTGGAACTGATCCGTCAAGCTGCCTGTTCAAGACCACAGTGGCCGTAGCACCCTCAGGGAGCTGATAGCCCAGAAGTCCATCAGGATAGTGACTGACCACACCCACTACAAAATGTTGTTTCTTCTTGATCGTGAATAACTCGTTGAATGCATCCGTCAGGAGCTTGCCATGCCAGTGGTCCTCCACCAGCGCCGTGGGCGTGAAGGCGGTCGCCTTGCGTACCACTGCAGCATAGTCTGTCTGGTCACCCAATTCAGTAGCTTGAGCTTTCTTAGCCGAAGGAACCGACACCTTAGCTTTAGCCTTCTTTGCTGGAGGGGCTTGAGCTTTCTTAGCAGGAGAAGCTGACTCAGACAGCTTCCCTGCAGCAGCAGCAGCGGCAACAAGGCGTTGAAGTTGATCTAATAACTTCGATGCTGTGATGGGGGGCTTGTCCACCTTCGGCGCCATGGCACGATGGACAGTACGTTGTAGAGCGCCAAGTAGACCATCCTCCTTCTTGCGCTCACGCTGCGCCCTCTTGCGCTTGGCATTAGAGGGGCGCGACGTCGAGGGAGCAGCCGAGGGAGGGGTGGCTGAAGGCGTAGACGAGGAGTGAGCACCAAACTTCTCCAACAGGGCCTGCAGGCCCTGCAGCAGCTCCTTTTCCTTGGCCTTTGCGGCCCTGGAGTGTTGACCACCATCGCCTCCACCCCTGCGCATCAAGGACCCTAGCCGTCGGCAGGATCCCGAAAAACGTGGCGGGCGGCCCCATGGGTGAGGCCAGGGCAGGTAGAGCAGCACGTCGATCGTCCCCACGACGAACACCCAACACAGTATCTGCAGAGGCTCCAGAGACACCACTGCCGAGGCCCAGTCCCAATACGCATATTGAGTGACTGTTGCCATCCATGGAATCAGATCGTACACGGACTCAGAAGACATAGCCATACCATCCCAGACCAGGAAGAGAGACGAGCACAAGCCTCCGCATAGCAGACATGCAGAGACATACTGAGGTAGAAGTCCACGGAGTAAGAACTTACGAGGGCAGAGCCGCCAACGCCGACGCAGGTCAGGGATCCGTCCACCACGCACATGCCGAGCAGCAAGGATGCGCCGCCCGCTCTTCAAGAAGTAGCCTCGCCGAAGTCGAGATGAATCTGCATAACGATAAGCTGGCACCTGAGTGGTTGACACCAGCCGTGCTCGCCATCTGCCACAGAGCCCCAGGGAGACGACAATGAGCACACTCACAAGGATGATATTAGGAGAGCTGCTTCCCCTCAAGCAACTCTCAAGCATGGATACAAACATGATACGTATCCAACCCCAGACGGCATCCACAGATTACCGAAACGTCGCAGGTGTTGAAGGTGACATGAGCCCACTTGCGCAGGGAAGCATGCTCATGATCACGAGGCTCCAGGCCAGGCTCGAGATCCCAGAAGTGCGTGTAGTCGAGACTCTTGGCGTCCTCGTCAGACGAGGCCCCGCACTGCGCGTGTCCCTCAGCGGGTCGGACGCGGTCTCCAGCAGGCAGTTGAGAAAGGCGTATCCCTTGCACCGGTGCGTCTGCAGACAGCGGGGCAAGTAAAGATAGTCGTACGCTTGGCCGAAACCCATCGAGCTGATGCCTCAACTCCAGCGTTGTGAGGTCATGGGGCGTTCCGTGAATGACGATGGTTAACTCCGTTTGGCTGGACACCGCGCTGGCCCATTCCTTGATGCACATCGCTGTGTTGCAGGGCTCAATGCTCGTGGGCAGTGGATAACGCAAGACAGAAAGTACCGCCCCCTTGCTTAGGTCTGTTGACTATTGCTTGAGCCTTGGGGTAGGTGGAGAAGGGGCAAGGGTAGGAGGGCGAGCATCCCAGCCGCCCTGGGGAAAGGCCCAGGGTTTTCCAAGAAATCCGCCGACCCCATGCGGGTCTCCAGGTGTGTGAGATGGTCCCCCCCCCAAACACCCACAAAGACCCCGAACCTCAATTTTGAGGGGAGGGGGCTGGCCGGGCACGACCCCAGGGTGAACTCATCAAGGGGGGTCCGCCCCTCCCCGGGCTTCTTTTGGGGGCTTCATCTTGAAGGGGTCGGCGGATGCAGCGTAAGCCTGTGGAACAAACATCGAAGTGAGACTCTGTGACCACGGCGAGCCTCGGCCACAGACGAATCTCCCGAGCTGGATCTGAGGAGCGGCGCGGGCACTGGAGCCCCTCCTGAACCCAAACTGGTCCTCGCGTGCATGCCTCGCCTGCGAGAGTCCCTCCCCCCAAAGCCGCAGAAGGCCGCGATCCCTTCACGACGTGCGTCGGGTCTCGGAGCCAGGGGCGGGCCGGCTGATATTCGCTTAACCGATCGCATCTCCACTGGCGTGGCCTCGGCCCCCTTGGCAGTTGCTTTTAGAGCTTTGCGAGACAATCCCCCCCCAAAGATCCTCGTCGTCTGGCTTCTGGGGCATAACTCAAGCCTCAGGCGGCCGTTCGGGAAGATCCGGGCAGACGCCCCTCGGCGAGGCGCAGTCGCAGAAACGCATCCCGAGACGGATATAATCTCCTAGAGCGGACGAGCACATCCGAAAACCCTGCTGCTTGGTGAAGCTGAGATGCCGTGCCCTGGTGGGGGTGGGAACAGCTGAGACGATGCTGACGTTGATCAGGGTCCGACCGTCCCAGCATTCCTGTAGGCCTACCCCGTAAAAAAGGTGTTTAAGACATAACAGGCCCGACGCGCTAAAACAAGACAGTCTCAACCAAAAATGTTATGAGAACCTGCCGTGCAAATGATCAAAGGTTCTCAGGGCATCCTTTTGGCGGGCCATTGGCAAGCTTGGACTCTCCTCGGGCGGGTGGTGACAGGAGGTGACCTGCATGGGGGGTGAAGAACGGGGCCCCGAAGGGTCACTGTCGGGCCCCTGCTGGCTCCAAAAGTGGCCCTCAAGTGCCCCTTTCGGGCCACTGCCCCCCCATTGAGGTCACCCCCCAACTACCACCCGCCCGGGCTTCGCCAGTGCTCGATGACGGGCGGCTCCTTGTCCTTCGCCTCGTCGCGCGGCCCCGGCAGCCCCTCCAGCCGCGCCGCGCACCCAGGCTCCCAGCCAGCCATGGCGACCTCGTACCTCGCGCGGGTCCCACGGGGCACCGCCGCACCCGCGGGGCCCGTCGACCCTCGTCGCCGTCGCCGCTAATCCTCCTCCTTCCCCCCCCTCTCTCGTCCTGCTTCCTCTTTTTGCTGTCGCCCCCTCGCCCTTCCTCCCTCCCTCCCTCATCCTCGTGCTCCCTGTCCTCCTCTTCGTCCTCGTCCTCGTTGTCGTACCCCGAGACGTGTCGTCCTCGTTGTCGTACCCCGAGACGTGTCGTACCCCGAGACGTGTTTCGCCTGACATGTTTCACCACGTATGACCCTGAACCTTGACATGCGCAACCGTTTTGAAGGATAGGACGCAGGTGGTCTTCAACCCAGGCCTCTCCCGTGAGCGCCGCGCACGCTCGACTGGAAAACCTGCGTTGCACTGGTGGTTGCAACATTGGGCTCTCTCCTCAGCGCCGCGCGCACTCGTCTGAAGAGCTTGCACCAGTGACGAGGACGAAACTTGCTGTGTCGGCAGCGCCAGCGGACGCAAACGGGGCAGCAGCGGCGGAACGCGCCGTGTGCGGGGCGCCAGCCGGCAGGGCAAAAACAGGGCACCCGTGAAGGGAGAGAAGGAGGGAGCCCGCCCGCCGAGAATCGGCGGGTGAGGAAACTCGGGAGCGGCCAAGAGGGGGGTGCCCAAGAGGGGGGTGCAGATCATGACCGGCGGCACGTGCGCGGCGCAGCGGGGGGGCCAGGGACGTCATGAAGTAAGAAGGGGCGCCATGAAATCTGGGGAAATATCACGGCCCCCGCCATGATCTCCCCCCCCCCTAGTCATCACCCCCCTCCTTGCCGCCCCCGAGAAAGCGCAAGCAGCCTCAATCACCGTGCACGGGGCAGAGCACGCACATCACTAGAGGGATGAGCTTGCCAGTGAAGGGAGAGGCTGCCAGGCGAGGGCGTACTGCCCACGCCCCGCGCCAGAGGCGGGGGCCGTCCAGCATGGTGCGCACTTGGGTCCTGGACTTCCCGGGCTCCCCTGAAGAGGAGGAGAAGGACAAGGAAGAGGAGGAGGAGGAGGAGGAGGAGGAGGAGGAGGACTCCCCGGACTCCACGGCTTCCCCGGACTCGACACCAGAAGCGCACCGCTCTCGGGCCCCGGCGGGGCTCCGGGGAGGGAGCCGCGCTGGAGGGAGACACCAGGTCGCCCAAGCAACCGGGCCAGACGGGGTGCCCACCGCGCAGCGGATCCAGGCCTTGCCGACGAGCTTTGTCATGGGGACCGAAGCCATGGCCGAGGGCTTCGGTAAAGGACAGGATGAATCCAAGCAAGACGATATCAGGGACGGCGGTTGCGAGCCAAGTCGAGGACTTGTCGAACAGCTTGCGCAGGATGCCTAGGCGCTCAAAGCAGGCCTCGACAAGACTCGGTGGTAGAGGACCTCAGGCGACGAGAAGCCCCGGTGGCCCCAAACTCCATACCCGCGGCGTCCGTAGCAACCTACACTGGGACAAGGATGGGACGCATGTGGTTGTTTAACTCCCACTCGCCATTTGGGCTCAGGTGGTCTGACGAGTTTTTGCTTCCTCTCCCAAAGCCCCTCTCTCCTTCGGGGAGGGCTATCCTCCCCCTCCCTCCTCCCCTCCCTGAGGTGTCAGAGCGTCCAAGATGGCCCAATATGGTTCCAAGAGGACCTCCTTTGCACCAAGATGGCCTTGAAGGTGGCTCAAAATGGCCGGAGATGGTTCAAGGAAGCTTCCAACACACCTCCAATATGCACGACGAGGGCCACAAGATGTTTCCAAGTGCTTTCGGAGCCCCCCTCAGGACAACCCCAAGAGGTGACGCTCCTGCAAATAATGTCCGAACCATTCGTGCTGTTTGACTTCTTGCTTTTTCGCTTCCGATTCGAGGCCTCATGGTGGTCCAAAGATGGCTCAAGAGAGGCCCGAGAAGGGCCAATGGGTCACCAGACGGCCCCAACATCGCCCAGTGGAGGCCCAATGACGACCCAAGAGGACCCCAAGAGGTGATATCGAAGGCCTCACGGGGAGGGGGGGGAAGGGGGCGCAAATCCGGGACGCCCCCCCCCATGATCGATGGACTCCGCGATGACCCCAAGCGGCACTCCATGGCTCCCAGGAGCCCCCCGAGATTGCGCCGGGAGGGCCCCATGAGGGCCCCGCGATCCACCGAGCGGGCCCCAAGAAGACGCCAAGATCTGCAAAAGAGTCCCGCGAGGGCTCCAAGAGGCGAGTTTGAAGGGTTTGTCCTCGTCCTGTGCGTATCTATCGCCTTCGGCGCGCGATCGTATCTGCAGCGCCTGAACCAATTTGTGAAACCAAAAATGCCCGAGGAGCTGAGCTTGCCCCTCATCATCAGGCAGAGGCTCGTGCCCCACGCGCCTCCACACTTCGAGCTGCCCGCTAGTGGCACCAAGCCTCATGAGAAGCTCGGCTCGCGACCGCCCGCCCCCCCCAACTGGCTGGACGGGCGAGCGGGGGCCACGAGCCATCGCTCCACCGAGGCCACGGGTAGCCGCGAGGGCAAGCAAATCGGCGGCCGTGGGCCCCCAAAGGCGGCCGCAAACGCCAGCCCCGATGCGTGGCTCCCCAGGGAAGGGAAAGACGCCCCCCCCCCACGCCCGAGGCAGCTGGCGCCGAGGGTCCTTCGCGGGTGGCCGATGGTTGCAGGGCTTGGCCAACGCCTGGGCAGCGGCTCGCGCGTGGCCTCCACGGGCAATGCGCATCATCAGGAACGAGGCCCCGTTACCACTAGCATCGGGGCCTGACAGAATCGAGGCCCCAGCGTTGTCAGACACATGGGCCACCCTCAGCTGGTGCCCCAAAAGCAGCAGCAGAGGGTCCAACTCGGGATCCTGATCACCGCGGGTCTCGCGAGCAGGACCCTGGAATTTGAAGCGGCCTCTGGGCCCCGACGAACATGCAAAAGGCAGCGCGGGGCGCGAGGGCCGCGCCCGAGAAGCCTGTCCGTCCTCAGGTTCAGGAAGGCCTGCTGCGCCACAGAAGGTCCCTGACGCGATGGTAACCTAAACACTTAATGTCATGACAAGCTCTAGACGTGTTTGGATGGCACAAAGCGCCCTCGCGGGCGCAGTTGTCAGAGGTCCCCCGCCCGCTCCCACCAAGTAGGCCTCCCCGCATCCGCATCCATCTGGGTCGCGTGCCTCTTAGCTTGGGCGATCAACCCCGAGTCGAACCGCTGAAACATTCCCGCCCACAGGTGGGCGCGAGGACTCGAGGAACCAAGGGCGAAGCGAGGCGACGTGCAGCAATCGACCGTGCCCTGGCACTCCATGTAAAAGTATACAGGCTCCTGGGCAGCAGCGCGAGCGAAGCAAATGCCGTATCCTCTCCATCCCTCGTGTTGGCACGGCGCCAACTCTGCGGGCACCGCGCCGCGCGCGCATGATAGGAACCCAGCCCGCTCGTCCGGCATCACGAGGGGCCAGCCAGCTCGGCGACAAAATGCTCAATAAGAAAAAATCGCTGAAATCTCCAAAAAGACAATCCCGCCCATGAATCCGAAGGCGGGCCAATTTATCCAGTGGACCTGAAACTCCTCGTCAAAACGGGTGCAACGGGGCAAACGGGAGATCCATGGGACACGGGAAAATGCCGCAAGCCGCTAGCTCAGCCCCCTGGCCCCAGTCCTCGACCCGGCGAAGCGCAGCCGGATCAGGAAGATCACGGCGGCTGACATCCCGCGCAGGGCGATGCGCCCGACGGTGGAATAGGGGGGAGGGGGGTGAGAGGGGAGGAGAAGTATAAGAGGGGGGAGAAAGAGGGGGAGGTTGAGAAGGATGGACGAGGATGGTGGCTGAGGAGGAAGGGTAAGAGAGAAGAGTGAGGGGATGGGGACGAGCGGGGGGGGGTGGAGAAGTCGCAGAGAGAAGGATGAGGAGGGCGGTCGGAGGGGGAGGGGGATGGGGCCAGGGGAAGCCAAAATGGACACATGAAGCGGACGAGGCTGAGTACTTCAGCGCGGCAGTTTGTTGGGCAGGGACCGACCGTCCCGGCATTCCTATAGGCCTACCACGACATGTTCTTAGAACCCCCAAAATTCCAATAACAAAAACGATGTTCTTAGACCAGAAACCCGACGTGATAAAACAAGACAGCCCCAGCCAGAAATGCTCCAAGAAAATTCCGTGCAGACCACAAAGGTTTCTCAGAACACTGTTTGGTAGGAGGGCAGACCCTGCGCCGCCCAGCGGCGCCCCCCCCCCAACAAAGAAAACAACAAGCACCCCACGGCAGGTTCGTGTCGTGCCGACTCCGGCGCTGGTTTCTGACACCGCCGCCTCCGAAACGCTGGATCGCTCAACATCGGCCGCGTCTGGGCCGCCGGCGGCGTTCAGCGTGGAACGCCGGCGGCGGGATCGACGCCGGTCGACACGACGCGAACCTACCGTGCCGCACGCGAGCACGGCCGTCCCGGCGGCTCCTGCGGGGCTCGGGCCGGGCGAAAGGGGGGGATAGCAAAGGGGGGGGTTGAGAATCAGCTCGCGTAGCTGATTTTCCCGGCGCCTCCCGGCGCCGGGAGGCGCCCATGTATCGAGGAATGGGCCCCTCGGCGAGGCCGAAACCAGCTGCATGCAGCAAATTTCGTACCCCCCCCTTTCCCAATCCCCCCCCTTTCGCCCGGCCCGAGGCTCCTGCGGCGCGCACCACCCGCGGCGGCGGGGCGAGGGAGCGGAGGAGAGAGAGGCGGGCCGCCGGGCGCAGCGCGCAGCGCCCGCCGGCTGTCGCCCAAGGGGGGGGGGCGTCGCGGCGTCGGTTTCTCTGGCGACGTGTCGCTCCACGCGTCGCCCGGGTACACCTTCCTCTTTTTCAACGGCGAGCCCTATCGCGGCGGAGATCCCGCCAATTTCGGCATTGCACACCTTCTGCCCCCTGGTTCAGGCAACGTCGAGCTGGAGCGTATCCAGCAACTCCTGCGTCCCCTCTCTGCATATGATCCTTCGTGATGTCCGGCTCGTCGCAGGTCTGACTTTGATGGGAGGCTGCCCACTGGATCGCACCGTTGCCTGTGCGTCTCGCTCAGGCGCATCCTCAGCGCAGCGGTGATCTCGGCAAGCTCGGCCTTGCTCACCTTATTCTGGATCTCACCTTGGAGCTGCGCCACTTCGCATATATTGTCAAGATCAGAGTTCGAGACGTTGTTGTTGGTGTTTGTTTGATTGATGTTACCACGCCGCTCATGTGCCCACGTATGCGCTTCGTGCAACACTGTATCTGAAACACAGCCGAGATCTGTTCAAGATCTGTCTTGCACGCCGTCTGGATCGCGAAGTTTACGTAATCAAACAAATTCGCCTTGGTTATTCTGCGCCGAATTCTTGACCTCAAGAATTGGCGTCTCGCCGTAGAGCTCGTCCGCTTCTGCGTTGCGCGCGCACTGTAAGTTGGTGTCGTCTTCGGGGCCAACGTCGAAGACCAGCAGGATCATGGTCCCAATCAGCTTGACTACTTCGATTGGTTAAGCAGCCCCTGCAAGACGTCCTTTGCGAGCGAGTCGAACGTGGCCACAGCCGCAACCGCCCTGGCAGGCATGTCCGCGATCTGTATCGCGAACTCCCCACCGAAACACCGACGTGACATTTCGCAGCCCGACAGAGGGCGCGATGATGTTCAAGCCTCAGGGCTACACAGTGTTGCCTTGGGCACCGAAGCCATGGTCCTCAAGCCGCAGGGGCTAGCCACCCCGCATTGAGCCCCAGGTGGCCTCCGCCTGAGCTCACAGTGGTTCGAGGGGGGAGAAGCGGGGCCGGGGTGGGCAGCGGCGGAGGAGGGGAGAATCGCCCTCCTCCTCCTCCCTCCTCCTCTTCCGCCTCCTTTCGTTTCCGAGCAGCTTGGAACGTGCGCATGTGGAGAGAAACTTGCATGGCGTAGGCACAAAGAAACGGACACAGTTCACTAGTGGACACTCCGTAAGAGGACTTGGCTCACCGGGTAAAGATAGATAAGAAGGGGGGGGCGTTCAAAAGGGGGGGGGGATCCAAGAGGGGGGGCGCAAATCATGGCCCGAGGCCCGAGGCACGTGCGCGGACCAGAGGGGGCCAGGGAAAGAGACGCCATGAAATCTGGCGAGGTATCATGACCACCTCCGTCAGATCCACCCCCCCCCTAGTCATCACCCCCCTCCTGGCCGCCCCCGAAAGAAAGGGGGAAGGGGGGAATGATGGCCCAAGCCGGTCCAAGACGCTTCCCAAGCCAACGGGCCTTGCAACTGACGGCTGGCCTCTTTTCTCCTCCCCTCGTCAGGTGCAGACCGAAATGCACCTCTTGACTACAGTGAGGGTCTGACCACAAGACGCCCAACCTGAGACCCCAGGACGTATATCGATTTGTGGTGTGGGAACGTCGCGCTTTCCATGGCAAGACCATCGAACTTCAAGAAACACAGGGCACTCCGGAGGCAAGCAGAGTGTTTGGGTGTTTCTTGGCTTGGGTCTCCACTGTAGGGCTCGGGGGCCAGGTCTGCGGAAAACACCAAAGGGACGTCAAAGAGCGCAACCTTCCTGGTCGGTCAAGCTGAGATGCACCACGCCCGGCGTCAAGCCAAAACTTTTGACATCAACGAATGATTGGATGTTGCACGTCTTCGTCGGCGTAACCGGCGAGGCGCTTGACCACCTTGACGTCCCCATTTTGGTGGTCCTGCAGAGGAAGGCGCTCTCTGACCCTCGGCCCTACTCGACCTCGATCTGCAGCCCGAGGCGCAACTCGAAGCAGCCCCGGGCGGAGCTTGCAGAGGGGCGGGCACTCCACGATGGGCTCGCCGTGGCTCGAGGGAGGCGTCCAGCAGACCTCCCTCCGTCGGGAGGCGCTTCTTGTCGCCGCCGCCGTCAGTTGTCCTCGTCGCCGTCGCAGTCGCTCCACCTTCTCCACCTTCTCCCTCCTCCCTCCTCGCTCCTCCTCAGCCTCCTCCCTTCTCCCTCCTCCATCCTCGCTCCTCCCTCCCTTCTCCCTCCTCCCTCCACCTTCTCCACCTTCTCCCTCCTGCCTCCTCCCTCCTCGCTTCCTCCTCAGCCTCCTCCACCTCTGTCGGGTCGTCCACCTCGGGGGCCGAATGGCAGGCAGGGCGCGCATGGGCAGATGTTCGACATCCTCGGTCCATAGCTTCCTCTCACTTGTCAGGAAGCGCAGTTTCACGCCCTCGAGCATTTACAGCGTATGTAACAACCAGCGGATGCAACAACCATCGGGGAAGTCACACCCCCTCCTCCACCTCGCCCGCCTCCCACCCTTCCTTCGACAAGGGGAATCAGCTGGCCGAGTTCAGCTGGCCGAGCTCAGACTGGACGAGAATCGTCCCCCCTCCTTCTCATCATCCCCCCTGTGTGCTTCTCGTCGCTTTTCCTTCATCCATCGACGCCGGCACGTGACTCTCGTTGTCGTCGCCCTACCCCCTCTTGCTGGGATCCAACTCCAGCAGAGGCTTGGAACAATCTGAGGGGCTACACTCTAAGGTTCACGGTGACCATCCCCGAGCTGTCTTCTGACGGCCCTGGCAGGAAGAGATGGCCTCGCTTGAGATCCGACGTCGCGAACAAGAATACGGCACCGCGCAAACCCACGACGGACGGGCAGACCCCATGTATCTGCGGCACGTCTCGAGCCCGGATCGCTCACTCCGAATGCGCCTGTGCGAGGCCCCGTCCGCGAGGTCCGCTCCGGCTCCCTGGAAGCCCTGGGGTCTGGAGGCCTCAACGAGCCCCTCGAACGGTTCAGGCGCGTCCAAGCAACAGCCTCCCGGAAAAACAAAAAAACAACGAGCTGTTTTCGTCGGCGGCTGGGCAGAAGGACTGCGCTAGCGGCGGAGCTACCTATGAGCGGGGGCACCCTTGGGAGCGAACTGGGCCACCGCGCAGGAGAAGGGGAGACGACAGGGAGGGCGGCCCCTCTCAGGGGGACCGGGCAGCCCCCGGAGCGCGTGGCGCAGCCGGCCCCGCCGCTGAGACAAAAGCAAGCACTGGGCTCGATCCCGAAGAAGCCACACACCTCAAACACCGGAGGCCGCGCTGATCCAGCGCCGATCCAGAAAGTCTGCGCGGGCCTCCGACACAGCGTGTGTGTGCAATGCTTTCGTCTTCGAACGTCGCGCCGGGGCAACACGTTGTTAGCTTTCAAGGCGTGCCGTGTCGCATGGGCCGCCGCCGCGACACGCCGACCTAGATCCCCTCAGATCTTGTCCTACGTTCCGGGCCCAAGTCGGGCCCTGGGACACTGCCTGATACAGCTGGCTCAAGAACTGCAGCAGGGCCTCCGTCCTGTTTTTCACTGTGCTGTTCTTATTTGGTTCGCGACATCACATCAATGTCCTGCGGTCTCACTCTTTAAATCAACAGCCCCAGGGCACCCGACCGCTAGCCTGGCCATTGCTCGGGCGTCCATTCCTTGTGCATGTTTCGGTTTCGTGCGTTTCTTGCTAAACTATCCAGAATGCTCCTTGAGAATCCTCGCCGAGAAGAAATGCACAAGTCCGAACAATGCCAAGTTGCCTAGGGCGTGGCTTCCATCCCGGATTCACAACGAAAACGGCCCCTGGAGGCCGAAGCCGAAGAACGACGCAGGGATCCATAAAGAATCCGCCAGAGGTCTGGGAGGCAAAGCTCCTGACTGGAGCCTGGACCGATCGACGACGACAGCAGTGACGACGACGTGGACGACGACGTCGATCGTCGTCGTCTGGCGACACGCAGGAGTGACCCTAGGCAGGAGAGGCCGCTGGTGCGCAACTTTTGGAGCCCCGGGGGTCCCAAGTCCAGGGGAGCAGGCTGGTGCCAGGGGGGACCCCTGCGTGCCCGCACTTGCGGTCACTCGGCGAAAAGGTCACTCGTGCGCTTGCGTAGCCGAGCCGTCGCCGTCGATCGTCGTCGGCCGCCCTGGCGCTGCCTCCAGCGCGAAGGACTCCGCGAGCACCACCCTGGGCGCCCTCGGCACAGCTGGAGAGATCCCCGCCGGGGCTTCTTCTTTGCTGACGGCCGCCTGGAGAGGCCTGTTCCTGATGCGCACTGGCTGCTTTCCCCCTCTCCCCTCCTCCTCCTCCTCCTCCTCCTCCTCCTCCTCATCCTCGTCCTTCTCGTCCTTCTCCTCCTCCTCCTCGTCCTCCCCCTCGCCCTTGTCGTCGTCGTCCCCCTTCTCCTCCTCGCCCTCATCTCCTCCTCTCCTCCTCCTCCTCCTCCTCCTCCTCCTCCTCCTCATCATCATCATCATCATCATCATCATCATCATCATCATCATCATCATCATCATCATCATCATCATCGAAATCTCATTCCTCCTCCTCCTCATCCTCCCGCTGCTCCTCGCTCTCTTCCCCTTAAATCTTGGCGTTGCATTTTGCTCGGGCCCTGGGACCCTCACTGATTGATCTGGCTCTCGAGATGCCGAAGAGAGATGGCGTCAGTATGGCTCTGATGTTTTTTGCTCGCAATGCTGTGTCGCGACATCGGATCTCAGGGTCGTTGGGCTGCTCGACCTCCTCGTCATCACCGACTGCAGGCCCTCGTTCATCAAAGGACGCGACTGCTTGCGTATTCGAGCAGCAGGCCATGGCGTCTCCGTGAGCACCGGCTGCAACTGCACATCCCGAGCTGCGTTCTGACGGCCCCGCGGCCCGTGAAGAGCACCCCAAGGGCTCCCAACTTCGCGCTTCGCGCTGCGCGAAGCGCGAAGTGCGAATAACTTCGCGCTCTCGCGCCGCCTCGCAGGAGAGAAGAGGAGGAAGAGGAGGAATCGGAGCCGAACCGCGAAGCGCGAATAACTTCGCGCCCTCGAGGGCGCCCTTGGCGCCGCCCTGGGGGGGCCCGAGACCCGCGACAGACCTCCGGGGCCCGATCCCCACAGCGCGGACCTGCCCAACTCCAGGCCCCCGGCGCCGTGACCTTCTCGCGTGGACCCAGGCCGCTTCTGTGGGGACCAGCTTCTTCTCGCACAATCCTCGTCGAGATCAAGCGCAGCTTTTTGGTGTTGGGCGACGGGCGAAATGCGGCCCACGGGGTCAGATGTGTGCAGTTGCAGTCGCCGCTTTCGGTGCGAACGTTGACATTTTGGCGCCCTGGGGCGCCGCCACGTCGCGGGACACACTCGCGTCTGATGTCGAGGAGGACTGTGAGCCATGTCTGGCGACCCCCGGGGGCCCGGCAAAGGCGCCTGGACCCGAAAAAGGCCGAACACCTTCAGTCATCGTGCTACCGGGAGGATCGCCGAGTAAGATGCGAAGGGATTTTCCTGGCCACGGCGAGCCTCGCCTTCGAATAGGTTCCCCATACCCCGACCTAGATGTCGGTCGGGCATGTCCTCCTACAGGCGGATCTCGGAATAAAAATAAAAACAGCTAAAACAAATATCAAAATAGTCAAAACAGCACGAGAACTTGGCACCAGTCTACTTTTTATGATTCTTGGATATCCCCCTGTGGAAGAACATGCCCGACCTATACCT